ATAAGCTATTAACAAGATAAGATAAGAGATAAGAACAAGCAAAATGAGCTAATCTAATCTAGATAAGGCTGCTGTTGCCGAACTGGGTAGGATGAGCATCACTGAATCCTTGCTGCTGCTGGCGGTGGGCCCGGGGCCTGTTGCTGCCGGCGGCGATGGTATGTCTTCCCGAGGAAGGCGTCCATAACACTTGATTTGCGCATTACATAAAGGGCAACCCAGTGCACGAGGCTCCCACCAATGTGGGTTCTAGGGAGGAGCAGATTTGTGCCGCCTTACACCTGCACATACATTTTCGCTTTACATCTTTATTTTTATCTATATCTCAATAAAATGTAAAAGGTACAAATGAAAATTGTTCAAATAGCTTGTGTTTGTATACTCTATATGGACAATTCTTGCAGATGATGGTTTATTTTCCATTTATTGACCTTGAAGATGTTTGAGGAAGCTTAACGACATAAGAATGAGAGCACGCTGGAATTTGGAGTTATAATATTTAGACTGCTGTAGGCAATAAGGATGAGATGGAGGAATTTTAGGGTTCGGTTTGAGGTGTTTGAGATTTGTAAGTGGATGATTCATCAAAATATTGATGCCACTAGAAGATTTACAGATAACTTGTTTTGAATAATATAAATATTTCATTGATGTGCATGACCTCAACCCCAACCTAACCCAATCATAAATTACTTGTGGTATTTTCCGAACTTAACCCTAAGTCAATGTTCAACTCAACCCCAATCAAATCCCTTTTTTTTTTTTTTTTGCGATGGGTGGGTTCATGCTAGTGCAAATCAAGTTGCACCAGGCTTTGTTGGACTATGCTTGTGGTAAGCATGAATGTTTTTAGACGCAGGAAAGCAGCATTAGCTGACAAGGAAATATGTGCAAGGTGGGATTATTGAACAGAGCTAAAAAATAACCTGGTTGGATTAGTATCATGTGACAATTCAATTGCTGACTCACTAATGACAATTATTTTATAGTTTTGAGGGATGAAACTGTACTTTGATAACCATATCCTTCCCAATGTTTTTGGGTTGTTTTCTGCATTTATCTACAAATAATTTGTTGTTTAAATTTTCCTTTTTAAATTTCAGGGAGGCCTGCAATTCCATCTTGACATTCTTGTCAGATATCTTTGATCTTTCAAACTCCAGTCGAGGAGAACAGTACCAATCTATCAGGGATAGCGTGATTCTTCCCCGGGGTGCAACCCTTGCCAGAATTTTGATAGCTTCACTGACAGGGGCACTCCCAAGTTCTCGACTAGAAGCGGTAATTATACGTAACCAGATTTGGTTGTTGAAAACATTGATGTGTCTCTGCTTTTGTGACTAGTTTTTTAGAAGGGTTTAATGATCCAGGAATCTACCGTATGAGCCTAGCTAGGGATCCATAACGGCTCTGTATGTTTCTGTAACCATCTTATTTTGATGGGCGAAGAGAGCTCTTGATATGCATTTTATGCCCTTTCTTATAGCACCTCTTGAACTTAAAAGGTTATGGCTTCAGATGCCTTGCACCTTTTGGGAAAGCTGCAATACATGTTAGGATGTAGAGGTAATGTGGACATGGGCAGTGAAAGCATGACCTTTCTAAAGGGTGTGCTATCTCATGGATGGTCAGGGTTGGCTGCATCATCTGTCTGGAAGAAACGGGGTAGGCCAAATAGAGGAGCCTAGTGACCTAAATCGAATGATTTTGATCAAACAGAATGGTCCTTTTGTAAGAAAATTGACCAAACTTTGTAAGATTGGACTTTCCAATAGAACCATGATATGCTCAATGTATGTTTCTTGGGTCCCTGATTGCCTAATGAATTAATCAAACTCCAGGTGAATCTATTCCCTGAACGTTCTTGTCATACTCTACAATGGTGGGAGAGGGGGATAGGGATTCTGGCAACTGCATGCCCATAGACCCAAGAGACCACTAAAAAGAGAATACTTTTTCATGGGTAATTGGAAGGGAGGGATAATGACTTTCTTTTGTTTCTCTTGTCTCAAGCTCCTCACATGATGTGTCAATCTCGTACTTCTGAAAGCTCTTCCCCTTTATTCCCATTGGTATGGCAAAATTCAGCCTACAATGTAGGCAAAGAACTCTTTTTGGGCTTTAATTAAAATTAATGTTCCCATTTCTATGATTGTAGTCCAAAACATGCATTTGGGAATGCATAAACAATGCTGCCTATTATCCATGTATTCTCATATTAGAAGAAATTATGGTTTTACATAACCTTTACGCCAGGTAACGTACGCACTGCTAGCTCTAACCAGAGCATATGGAGCCAAGGCGCTTGAGTGGGCGAAAGAGAGCGTTTCATTGCTTCCACCTACAGCTGTGACTGAGGCAGAACGTTCAAGATTTCTCCAAGCTTTATCAGAAGCAGCAACAGGGGCTGATGTTAATGCCCTAACAGCTCCTGTTGAGGAGCTTTCAGATGTTTGCCGACGTAACCGTACAGTTCAAGAGATTGTTCAGGGAGTTTTAAGGCCTCTAGAGTTGAACATTTCACCTGTATCTTAGCAGGGTATTACCGGTATAGCAGAAATTTTTGGTATTTGTCAATCCAGTGATAATTATTTGATTGTGTATCATCATCATCATTAGTTGTGTATTAATCATCATTTATTACGAAGTTCGTCATTGTAATTTGTGAGTGAGCTGAGGGATGGTATGTATTTCTTTCCTCCATCCTACTTCCGGTGTAATCTGCATATGCCCTCTTTTTCTCTGGTTAGAAAACTTGTTCTTTTTTGTTTTTTTTTTTCTTCCTTGATTTATGTGATTTATCGAACTTCATATATTTAAGGTTCAAAGTATCGGTACGTGTCTGCTTCATTAATTTACCCTTGGCTGTCTTAAATTGAATTTGAATATTAAGATTATACTATATCTACCCTTGTCAGTGTTAATGTATTTACTACTTAGTTTAGGCTCTTTTTTATTTCACAGAGTAAATTTTTTTCTCAACATTTCAGTTGCATTTTAGCTGTCCCTCTTTCACAGCAAAAATTGTGTTCATCCGTCCTCCGTCCATTCAACAGGCGAATAAAAGGTACCTCAATAAAGAAATGCATATTTAGCTGCCCTAGTTATGGCCTTCTGGGTGATGATTAGGGTTGATTTCATTACAGAATTGGGATCTGCCATGTGGAGAAAAAACTCCGATGTATCATACCCACATCCTAGTAATATCATTATAGACCCCAAATAGGCGTATCTCCTGTCTCTTCATGGGGATGTGCATTTTTACCGCGTTTTTTTGTCTGTGCTTAACATCGATCTCTCATCTCTGCTTATTTGTTACTTTAAAAGTTCTATTTAATTTCCGAGTTCTTTTCAAGGTTTGACTTGTAATAGTACTAGGAATCGAGTACGACGTCAAGTTCAAAATTTACCATATCACACTAAGTATTGGTTTTTAAACTGATGATACGCTAAGTGCACGGAATTCGGGACATCTGTGAAGTTTGAAATACGGTTTCAACTTTCAAGTGTGCAATAATGGTGGCAAGATGGTAGTTGACGTAAATCAGCTAATACAGTATCAACATGGTAGTAGACTTGAATCAGTTATTTTAGTTGCTTCTTATTGAAAATCAGTGTTGAGCCAACTAATACTTTCAGGTTTAAATCATAGTCAAAACCTTGTAAATCCACCAGCATTGCAGTTGATGGTCATTATGGTAGTTCTTTTCTAAGGTTGTGTTTGGTACCAATATACAATTTGCTGTTTCTACATGAAACATTTAGGGTCGATCCACCCAACAGATAAGATGGTCACTTAGCATTCCTCCAAATATGGAGGTGCAGGATCCAACCCATGTAACTGCAGACTTTCTGTGCCCGTGGTAGGTCAGTTGAGCCCACATAAAGTCTCGTCTTTCACTTAATCCCTTGCAATGTTCTATACTGTAATATGTAATACCGAAAAAATTTCCACATTCAGCAATAGACATCAATGATCAGTCCCAAAAATGCATTTTTAAGGTATGCCTGTTTTAACTATAAACAGCCTCAAACAACAGTTCTGTGACAATTATATTAATCAATCCAAAATGTTTCTGGTTAAAACAACAATGATAGTATGATACAACACAATCTGTGAAAAGTAACATTTTCCTTTGATCTTAACATGTCAGAGGAAGAAGGAATCTTACAAAGATTAAAATGTGAGGAACCAAAAAATTAGCTTAGCATCTTTGTCTTGTTTATGTAACTTCAATTTAATTCTCAATCTTATTAAATCCCAACAATAAGTTGGCATGGTATTCGTTTTCTGAATTCCATTGTGGTAGAATATGATTGAAGGTTTATGCGTTGGTGTAAACGATTTTTTACAATATGTTTTTTGATGTCTATATTAACACCATCTTTTGTATTCGACTGTCATACAAGAGAATGCTAATGCGTACATGATCCTTTTGTACCATTTATGCAAAAAAAAAAAAAAAAGGAAAAAGGAGAAGAAAAAGGCCAAACTAAGATGGAGGAAACAAATCAAAGCAAAGGAATATGCAGGCTGCTTCATTATCATGTTCTCCAGTGTGCATTAGAACCTAGAGTTGGTTTGTGTTCTTGCTGCTCCAACTCCAGACATGGCAAAAGTTCGTTTTCGTCTGAAATAAAAAACTGAACTGCTAACCATCAACAGACATAACATAATCCCCTGTTGAAAGAAAAAATAAAGGTGGTTAGGTGCCAAATGAAGTTCATACGCCTTCAAGTAATATACTAAATAATAAGAAACCCATCACAGGTGAGACAAAACAATGGAATAAGAGGATGAAATTTTCATCCCCCTTGGTTTGGAACTGATAAATGTCCTTTAACTTCAGGAACACAGCATATGCTACGTAGTTATGCACAATGTAAATAAGAGAAAATTTCCAAATAGAGTTCTTGTTTCAACATGCCCAGGTTCATAATTTGTGAAACACGATGAATAAAGAAAGTCTAAATTTGATGGTCCGGCTCCATTTTATTATGATCATATGCCCAATCCCATGTCATGATGTCAAAGGTAACAATGCAGGGGGATGGCAATTATATCACATAACCACGTTAGCCAGTCATCCTGAAAAAAAAATCCAATTATAAGAATTCTACTTCTGAAACAGTATTTGGAGAATTAGTGCACTGCAGAAAACCCATAACTATCTACCTGCTCTCCTGTGGTCTTCCATGAGCACATAACTAGAAAGCCCTTTTACCCAGTATCAATAAACCATTGTCCAATGTCCATTAAAGATGCAATAGAGGAAAGTGTCAAGTTTTAGCATAAAAGTATAAACACACAGAACAATGTTTAAGGTTGTTTTTGGTACCACTGCCATTTCAGGCTCAAATTTTTAGAGAGGCAATGACATTTCATGTCAAAATGCCAACACAGGTATTTGGACATGAAACTTACTTTTTTTTTTTACTTATGCTGACTAGGTGTTGAACAAGTGTTTTGAGCAATATGGTGTTTGGTATTTGCTGATTAAAAAAAGGGTGTTTGGTATTGGCATTGCATGTTTATATTCAAAGTGACACCTATACTAATTCTCATTCAATGGTCAAATTTAAAAATAAATGTTCTATCGGCTCATTATTACACAAAGATTAACATCTAGATGCAGATCTAATCAGAAGCATAGAACACAAAAGAGAACCTTTGTTTTAGAGGTAGGATTTATGGGTATTTGATGGCATATATCCATCTTTGCTAGTATGAGATGCAGCAGAATATATATACTTTACACTGCATGTAGGACGCCAACTAAGAACCACCAGGTCATTGGACTGTTTCTTCAAATGGGCAGCTGATGGAGGAAAATTCAATTTGATTTCTCCCCTAAAACCTCTGTTTCTAGTAGAAACATTTTATGACTGTTTTAACTCAAAACAGTCTCAACCAAACAGAAAATTGGCATTCAAACTCAAAATGCCTAGGTGGCACTGATCTGGCGGCACTTCAAGTAGCAATAACCACAATACCCAACATACCTAAGTAGCAATTATAAGAAAAAAAAGGAATTTGAATACAAATTGCAAGAGAACCAACACATATGTAAAGTTTTTTTTTTTTTAAATAGCTTTATATCACAAAAATATGGAGAACTTCCACCCAAAAAGATCACCATGATTGATCATAAACAAAACAAGTTGGAAAAAATAATAATATGATCCCATTGTCTTCAAAAACAACCATATTTTTTATTTTGATAAAAGGTAAAGTATTATATTACTCAAAAAACAATTCAAATCTGCACACCAAGGAGCTGTGCAGTGCCCAATCAGATCTGTACATCTTCTAATTTGTATACTCAAAAAAAATCATACTTAATACCATAGAATTCTTCAAGAATCACAGCCAAGAACTATATTAGTCCCTTGATTTTACCAATGATCACACCTTCTGAGCATTCATGTTTTACATTAAAAAAAAAATCCTTCTATTTATGTTTTACATAAGGATCAGCATATCAGCATTATGAGCTCCAAAGACAGGACTTGGACCACCTTTTCTCCAAGTCCTTGGAAATGATTTTACTAGACTGGAAACAAAAATCTAGGCAGAGGTAAACATAAAAGGCAGGACATATAGCTTTTAAGTTATATATAAGGAGGTTATACCCATATAGAGCTACTTTATTTGCTGTAAGAGGAAAAAGTAGCTCTCAATCCTAAACTATAGCTTCTTTGATCAGAGATTATTCCTCAATCTTCTTAATATAAAGTCTCTCTACTGGTTTTACCAATAATTGCCCGGTTCATATCAGTCTCAACAATAATGAGAGTATTCTTGTTTCTGTGTTCCTTGTGCTATCCAAGTATGTTGATATGATTCAATTTTAGTGCATGTCATGTTTCTCTGATTCAACAGAAATAAGGAACATGATTTTTTTTTCCATTTTTTCCCTTTTCCTCTTTTGATCAATAATAAAGATTAATTTACTGAACATAGATGTATTGCAATTTGCAAGGAAAGTAATCACAAACAATTGACCAAATTGAAACCAATCCTCTTATAGCTCAAATCCAAAAGGATCAATAGAGAATGGGGCTGATGACAAAGAAACACTATGCATCAATTGGGTAAACATGGAAGAAAATCAGACCTGAATGCAAAAAAAAAAAAAAAGTCAGCTACTCTATTGGAAAAGAATATACAGTGAATGTCTTACCTCAAAACCAAGCACTGACAACTTCTCTTCATTTACTGCTGGAATACAGCTTCTATAAGTAATGTAAGCCTGCCTTCTACCCTCCAATGTGGATGAATCATCCAGCAACCTTCTATGACTTAAAGCAATAGCAAGTTCATGCAAATTCTCCAAGACTGATCGGCTTTTCTGAGATTTCTTGCCATTTTCTTTCTGTGAGCTGTCTTTAGTTTCTACGCATTTCAAAGGAATGCGGTAGCCAGTCTCGCTACAGTGATATTTCTCATCATTCTACAAGATAAAAGTTATAGAAGATAAGCAGTAAGCACAGGGTGATGACATGTATCAAGAGGACAAAAATGGTTTATATGCGTAAAACTATACCAACAGAGAGTTGTGTAGCATGCAGCAAATATAAACCCGTGTATAGAAGCTGCATCAGTAGCAGGTACACTTGTTCCTCCACTCTATATATGACCACAACCAGAAAGTTCCTGTGAATTTCAATTTTCTCTCCATCTATCAAATAGGAGACAGGTGAGCCTTTAATGTTTCAGTATGTTACTTGTGCTTATGTAATGTTTCTCGATGTTTCACCTTAGTTCTTATTAACCTTAACTATTCTTTTATAACTGATACGTGGACGTCCTCGCTGAAAAGATTAATAGCTCGTGCGTTCCATTCAGCTAAAGCACCTTAAAGTATAGACTACCATGGTTGATCTATGATGTAAACATAGGTGGTCTAGTCTGCATGGGTATTCATCATCAAGCTATTGAATAAAGGTGCGCTACTGTTGGACAACTTTCAGCTACAACTGTCACTTTACAGCCTATGGATGAATGGAAGATCTAGGGAACAGAATCAATAAAAAAATGGTCGAAAGGCCTGAGGATTAATTAGTCTGAGATGGTTTTTTTTGATATTCCAATGGAGAACGATGGATGTGATTACCACATAAAAAGAATCCATAAATAGTAATCTGTTGGAATTAGTTCTTGTGACTGGATTAATTTAAGATGGCATTTATCATAGCATACGCTAATTAATTGAATAATTGCAGAAAAAACCTGAAAATATGGAACTCCCCCCCCCCCCCCGCTAATGGTTAAATTTTTACCTTTTCGGAGTAGAGGCAAGGAACACAGGGACCTGAAGGTGAGCATTCAAAAGTGGCGTTCCCTCCTCCTGGGGTTTCCCTGAAACTCAGCAGCAACCGACGTCCTCCTGCTTCGCTTCTTCTTCCAACTTGTCTTTCTCTGCCAAAGCAGATAAAAAACGTCAATGAATCACACACCAAATTGTCCAATTGTCATAATCACACAGATCGATCTAATCATATAACAGAGAATTCCCACACACCTCTCGTGTTCTAAAAGTGAAGCTGCCTCTACGTTCCGGAGAGAAGTCAAGATCAGGGAGACGGCTATGACGAGGACAGGAATATAGAGGCATAACGATGGAGTTGAAGACGCCATGGCCATGGCCTTTTGCCTCGCCTTCGTCTCTTCTTTTCCTTTTCTTCTTCTCTGCTGAAACTGTAATCAGAAATTCAGAACAGCGTAAAATGAAGGGTCCTCTCCTGGAGTAAGCCGTAGCCCGTATAGTCGGAGACGAGATCTACTGATGGGATGTATATAGGGTTATCAGTGCATAGATTCCAATCTGATGTCTCAGAGTGGCCTCAGGGATAAGAAATTGAGAATTTTTTAGATAAATAGAGTAATAGACAATAAATCCAACGAGTAAACATAGAAGTAGGGTTCCATAAAATGATAAAAATGACAATTTAGATATAATTAATAAAACTAACTAAAAGAAAAAATATATAAAAAGATAAAGATGCAAGAAAATAGAAAAATAATTCCATAAAATAAATGTGTAAATATGTTTCATAAGAAAATAGCAAAAAAAAAAGAGATTGTTGGGATTAAATTAGATAAATGAATAAATGATAAAATAAATATTAGAAAATGAAACAAATAATAGTAAAAAAAATGTATTTGGTAAGATAGATTCTATTTTGTGATGGTTTTTTCTTATCGTATGCCTTCTTTATTAGTTTGTTTACATAATTGTTTATTATGCTTGTTCCATATCCTATGTGGACCCACCTATTAGGTGCCTAACCCATTCTCTTTCCTATCCGAATTTACTCGGATTAGTGTAATTAGTACTTGGGCTTTGGAGTGGCTATTAAATTGAACACGCTTTCTGATGTTTATCTCGAAGGTCTCATCACCTTTAATTCCGTATTTGATGGATGATGACTCCATTTTTTAGTCCACAATAGCATGTGATGTTATAAATCATATTGATGTGGAGTTTGATTCTACTGGAGGCTTAGAAGATGTCAAGAAGTCACTCTTTGAACTGGTGATTCTTCTACTACGGAGACCTGATTTATTTTTTGGGAAGCTTCTCAGGCCTCATAAAGAGGTATTACCATATTGGCCACCTGGAAAAGGAAAGACAGTGCTTGCTAAGGCCACAGCAAAGGAATTTGGAGCTGTATTTATTAATGTCCAAATATCAACCGTCGCCTACTACGTCCACCGGTGGTGAATGTTGAGCTTCAACTTATTCTACGGTTTCTACCTTGAATCACTAAATCTCCGATGCTTATGTTTTCAGACAAGCTTCTAGTTTTGGACCTGAGTTCAGAGCCTATTGCAATTTTCGATTTGGTGGGCCAGTCCATGGTTGGTCTCCCTTTTCCGTATAAATGAAACTTGAAGGTGTTGTTTCGAAGTAGCAAATCAGCAACTGAAGAATCAGAGCTCGATTTACAGGTTGAAGACATAGATTGGCTTATCAGGATTAGATCCTAAGAAGGGGATAAGGGTAATATTAGATTTTAAAAAAATTTAAATTCACATGGTGTCAGATGTATACAGATTTTGACAAAATACTAATAATGGATGCTAACGATAGGGGTAGAGCTAGTCAATTGTCAAAAACAATAGAGATAGTGCAAGACAATATATAAACAATAATGGTATAATTTGTAATTAGCTAAGCAGTAGGGGCAATTTAAGAAATTTGCCCATATATAACTTATCTTGATCTTGATGCACAACAAGATCCATTGATACATTAGAAAGCTTAGGTTGGGCAAAACGAAATAACTTCTATGAGATTTGGACCTATCACATTTAAAGCAACATCATCATCCGAGTTTTGTCTCAACTATATAGGATCAGTTACATGAATCTTGCTTGAGATAGAAAATCTTGCTTCACCATTTCATTCTATTTAAGGTCATGTCCATTGTTAAATTTTGAACGCATGAGTTATTTCTTATTATTTTTACCTAAATCCTTTTTGGTTTATCCCTATCCCTTCTACTCCCTACCATTTCTAACAATTCAGTCACTTATTCTTATTATTAGTGATGTTGATGGTTTCCTATGCACATAATCAAACCGTCTAAATATATCCTCTCACTTAATTGGAATTATTCCCGGGTTCCATTGAATGACTTATTAATCTTATATTTTCTAATTTTCTCATTCATCTAAACCATTTTCATTATAAATTTAAATGACTTTAAATAGAGCAGAATAAGGCATGAAGGGTGAAGATAATATAAAGTCAAGGATTGATCCATATTTCATCCTCAAATTTTGAATCGACTTAATTGGATGGGGACAAACAAATGGATGCCATTTACAGCCCTAAGCTAGGATCCGTCCAAGCTAGATTCCATAAATATATTCCAAAAGCCGAAAAACTAATGGCTCTTGTTGCTTTCTAAAAGGGTTAAGTCCAGGATGGGATGGGTCTGGGTCATGGGTCATGGGTCGGGGTCATCCTGGTGCCTTATTGGATACTTAAACCGGTAGAGCCCGTTCTCCTTTCCGGCATCATAGATTTTCTGCTATCTAATCCCTCATTGTATATGGTCAATTCAATTTAACCAATCAGAATGCGAGTCATAGAATTTAGGAAGCAGAAAGAGAATGATACAATGAGGGTGTCCTTCTTCGTAACTTTTTAATCAAAGATGTATAATCGGAATCATCCAACTTGGTCCATTTGATTATTATTAGTTAGCGTGGGATCATCTATCAGAAAGCAGGTCCCGATCCTCTTGGCCAAGACACGTGGCGGAATAAGAGTTCACCTGAATCTCAAGGCGCCCTCATTGTAGCTTTCTGCCTTGTATCTCTCAGAGGCTTTGGTTTCGGGAGCCTGTTTTTTTTAAGCAGTTTCGGTTTTTCTATTCTCTCATTTCTTTCTCCCCCCGCGCTAGCAGCCATGTAATCGACTGTCTTCCTTTACCGCCTGGAAGTAATTCTTGGCCGGTTTTTCTTCTTCTTCCTTTTATTATTGTATGGTTGTTTTTGTTGAAATTTTCCTCTGTTTGTTTCTGGTTATTTTTTCTTCATCATCATCTTCTTCTTCTTCTTTTTAGGGATTTTTATCTTTTTTTTTTTTAATTCTCCAACTCTCTCGCACTGTCAATTTCGGTTTCCATCTCTCTAAGATCACAAGATGGCCTCCACAGTTCAGAAGAAAACACTCCATTCCATTCTCGCCGGGAAGCTCAACAAACTTAGTATTCCATCTTCGACATCGACGCCTGGCGAGGACTTCGATTTCTCAGATGTCTTCGGCCCTCAAACCTCACAGTCTGCTTCATCACCTTTTCTTCGAGACCCGGAAATAATATACAGCCGATCCCACTCGTTTGTGGGCCCTTCGCCTCGATTTGCCAACTCGGCTTCCCTCCCGTTTAAGGTCGTTGATGGAGAGAGTTGTTCACAGGGTTCTGAAGGAGAAGAAGAGAATGAAGAAGAACATGTTGATGCCGAGAAGTTGAAGGAGAAAGTAGAGGAGGAGGCGTCTCTGACTAATAAGATGGGTCCCGGCGATTTTCAGATTTTGGGAGTTATTGGGCAGGGAGCTTTCGGTAAAGTTTTTCAGGTCAGGAAGAAGGACAATGGTGGTGGTGGCGATGGAATTTTTGCAATGAAGGTGATGAAGAAGGATACAATTATAAAGAAGAATCATGTGGATTATATGAAGGGCGAGAGGGATATACTCACCAAGGTGGTGCATCCGTTCATTGTGCAGCTCCGATACTCTTTCCAGGTAGGAAGATTGAATTGAGGTAATTTCAATTTGTCCGTTTTTATTAAGATTTGTCTTGGGAAAGAATATTTCAGCACTTTTTTTTTTTCCAGTTAGAAGCAAATATGAAAGCTGGTTATGGTGTAAGACATATCGTGGGACACTAAAATTGACAAATAAATATCCCGAATAAATATTACAAAATCGATAAACAGCCATGAAAATAAAAGAGAGTAGAGTTCCAAGCGTAGAGCCTATTCGTCCACACGTTATGTTTGTTTCATTTCATGCACTTCATCTAACATTGGAAAAAAATGAAAAAATTTTCAATAATTCTGAATTATGGGATCTTTCTTTGCACGATGATTTTTATTTGTAACAAGTTAGAGGATAATCTTTTTTATGAGTAGTTAGAGGATAATCTTTAAGCAGTAGGAACATACTGTAACTCCCATTTTGAGCAAGCTCCTAATACACTCCAATTGGAATACGGTTTTCAGTAAATTGGGTCCCAGTTGTCAACTTTAGAAGATGATTTGTTTCAGTGTACAGGCAAATCAGCGTACCTCTAGGCCATCCTAGTGTCTGATGCATAACCACATATTCTATTACAGCAGTATGCTATTGGGTAGGTTTAGGATCGGGGTTTCCAGATTCTGATAGAAGGTTGCCAAGTACTACATAAGGAAAAATAGATTTGATGCATGAATTAGGGAAAGCAGTCCAAGGGATATGCTGAAGCTTACATGGTTGATTCTACTCAGCTCTTTCAATCCATATTCCTATCATCCAGGGCCAAACTACCTGAATCCTGGTATGCGGTTCCACTTTATCCATGTCCATATCCGTTTATTGTTTGGTGGAGGGCTAAAACTTGACTGCTTATTAAAAATCATAAATCAACTCTTCCTATTGATGGATATATCAGTTGATAAGAATAATGGTGACATCTGAGAACAAGTAATGGTGTAGCTGATCGGTTAGATCATATTTGAAACATGACCATAAAGCTAACATAATGTCAAGGAGATTTCAGAACAAGACATTTTTTCATTACTGACAAGCCTTTATGTGCTTCCTAATTGCTGTCCACTTAATGAGAAATAAATAAACAAACAAAGAACTTTGTCTTTCAGGTGACTTTTCCAGACATGTTATATTTGTTATTTTATCATTTTCCTGTTTCAGTTGCCATTTGCCGCACAAGGATACAGGTTCAAGATATGTCATATCTGTATATCTGTGTTTTATTTACCATTTTAGCCTATTAAAGAATGCTATAATTGGCAATGGGTGAGAGAAGCACACAGAAAATAAGTAACCCTGCATCATACATCATGCATCATTCTTGGAAGTGAATCCCTTTTCTGCGAGGAAGGGGAGGAAATACGGGTGGTGAAGAACCTTCTGGTTTGAAGAAGGGATATTCCATTCAGTGGTTTCAGGCCAAAACTGTGTATCTTATACTGTTATACATTTATTTTGGTGTAAGTACAACCATTCAGGGTGAGGCATGCTTAAATACAGTGTCCATGAGAAGACTCATTTGAAGCATTTCTTGTGTTTCTTGTGAGGAAAAAGGGTTATTGCCAAAGTTATTAGGGTGCTAAGTCAAGGCTGGGTGACATCTTGTTTCTCTGGTCTTTGCATTTCTCTCTTTCATTAGCAGAGTAAGAGAGAATATGAAACTGTGTTAATTCCAGAGAAAGGAAAAGAAAACTGAAAGGCCAGACTTTTATTCTAGTCACATAAAGAGAAGATGTTCGGAAAGGATTTAAAAAAGAACAAAAGAAGAGCCAAACCATTTTATGGCTAATTTCAAAATTGGTCTTTTTTTCGGTATTATTTCTAAATTGGTCTTTTATGGTACCTGTTTTCACCCTTTTACCTTATTTATGTAATATGACTGGTTTGGCTGTGTTATACATAAAATTAATACACATCCGATATGGAAACACCAAGGTAAGGGCCATAAGGCACAAGGTTATCCCAAAATGCTTACTTACCTAGGTTTTTGCCTTGACAACTATGGGTTAACAACAGTAAACTCCATTACATTTACAAGATGTTTTTCTAACACAGATACTATGCTAAAGAGAAACTGGAGCATGAAAAAAGCCAAATTTACACCCCACTGGAATCTATGATACCTGGATGCTTGTACAAGGGTGCTGAATCATGTCAGCTACTTCAATTTTCAGTTTGCATATGTACCTGACAACTTGTTCAGCTGCATCTTTTGCCATATCTGGGTTACGAATAGACTGTAATATAATGCAAGCCATTAAGTTGAATTTCAACTTCTCCAACTTATCAAATATTTTGATTCTAGATGAGCAGATGATGTGGAAATGAAGGCCAAACTTTATCTTATAGTTCATATAAATTGGTTACCAAGGAGATTGATGTAGGAGCATTGAACACTACAATAGGATGAAACATATTAAAAAAAGGGATTATTAAATAGTGGTTAATGAGCATTATAAGCTTATTTGTAAGGGTTCTTAGGAGTTCTAGTCATATTAAATGTTAATTAACATGGGGGTTAAGGTAGCATTGAACCTAGACTTTCTTAGCTTAGAAGTCGTGCATTTAATTGTTAGATAGTTAAAGGGTGTAATTAAGCATTGATTAAGGGTTTGCTTAGCAAGGAAGACAGGGGGATCTCTCCATCTATAAATACCCACAAGTTGTAGCCTTAAGTAAGTTAGTTTTGTATACAAGAATTTGAGTTGAAATCTTTCTTTGAGTAGCTTTTGAGAAAGGTTCAAAGTATTGATACGATACGTCCCATATCGTGCATATTGTATCAGATCTTTGGTCCCCGATACACATGTTTATAGGTGTTTTCGAGAACCCATTTTTTAAAATAATACATATAAAATATGTTTAAAACTGAAACTTGAAAAAAAAAATAAAAGCAGTATCATTCAAAGTACCGATACATCTCTGCCGATATGATACACAAAGGCATATCAATACTTTGAACCTTGCTTTTGAGCTATCTTATCCCCTTCTCCTCCTCTCTAGCTTTTGGAGTTGGTGAAGCCTAGAGCTTAGTTGAGTAAATGTGGGTGTTTTCTGATGTCCTTTATTAATCCTCTATGTATACTAAAGAGCATTCAAGTTCTTTCACCCCTAGTCCTTGGTGGAAGACTTGGGCTGCATTGGATGGTATTAGAGCAACGTCATTCATTGGGTTGTGGAAAGATTGGTCTGATGGCTCCAAGGCGTGCCTGTGCCAATAATGCTAATGCCCCAATGTGGGAACATAATCGTTGAGATATCAAAATGGAAGAATTAAGAAGACAAGTACAACATTTGACAGCATTTACAATGCCTTGAAACTCAAAGTCGTGCAGATGATGGTCTCACCTCTAAGGATGATGTCAACCCTAACCCTCTTCATCAATGTGCTCTGCTTGAAGAGCTAGATGATAAGGTCTATGAGGAGCATATGCCTCAATTTTACAATCACTATCTAGAGGTTGAAAGAAAGGTGTCAATCTTGATGTTTGAAGAGAACTTCAAACAAACTCCTATAGGCAGCTATTATTGGTTCAACTTTGTTCATGGAGCAAAGTCTTGGAAGATTTCGATGACAATCTTATGTGGCCATTCTTATCAACAAAATTTATTGAGAAAGTGTATGTTGATTAGGATAATTCTCCAATCTTTGATGAAGAACCCATTGCTTATGAAGAATCTTCTATCTTCCTAAGCGAATTTCAAAGCAATAGAGACAACACTTATCATGTTGGAGGTTTTGATTGCATCTTTTTTATACAAGTTTTTAAGGATCTGTTTTAGGGTTTCAAACCAGTTCTGTTTTGAGAGAAAGAGAGAGAGAGAGAGAGAGAGAGAGAGAAGAAGTGGAAGAAGAAGAAGGAAAGGAAGCTGTCGAACTAGTGAGGTTCAACCCTACTAGTCAACTATAATCTATATTATAATGTAATTAGTGTACAATCTCCAAATTGCCCCTACTTAAGTATGGAACAAGTGAACTACAAAAGTCAAAATAGAATTGTCACATCATCATATAACTTAAACCATAATGAAATGACTAATCTACCTGACCAGCTCTAACACTCCCCCTCAAGCTGGAGAATACGTGTCATATAATCCCAGCTTGTTACATATATAGTTCACTCTCCTTGAGCTCAAACCTTTTGTAAATAAATCTGCCCATTGATCACCTGAACTCATGTGTTCTGTGATTATCTCTCCAGTAAGAACTTTCTCCCTCACAAAATGGCAATCAACCTCTATGTGTTTTGTTCTCTCATGGTAGATTGGATTAGATGAGATGTGGATTGCAACTTGGTTGTCACAGTACAATCTCATAGGTCTGCCCATTGAGAATCCAATCTCTTGTAGAAGATTTTTCAGCCATACTAGCTCACATGTAGTGTGTACCATGGCTCTGTATTCGGCTTCAACACTACTCCTTGCCACAATAATTTGCTTCTTACTCTTCCATGTCACTAGGTTTCCTTCAAGAAATGTGCAATAACCTGTAGTAGGTCTCCTATCGGACATTGAGCCTGCCCAATTGGCATCTATATACCCAACTATCTCAAGTCTTCCTCCTGGTTTGTACAATAACTTATTGGCCTGGATCTCCCTTAAGGTACCTTACAATTCTAAGGACTGCATTCCAATGAGGTACCCGGGGATTCTGCATAAATTGGCTCACCTCACTAACAACAAAGGAGATGTCTCGTCTTGTGATGGTCAAGTAGTTCAACTTTCCCACTAACTGTCTATTATCTTCTAGGGTCATCAAATATTTCACCTGCATCACTGCTCAACCTAACATTCGATTTGATGGGTGTTTCAACTGGTTTCGCACCTAACAATCCCGTTTCATCCAACAGATCAAGAACATATTTTCTTTGGCACAAATTCCCACCTTGTTTCAACCTGGTAGCTTCTATACTCAAGAAATATTGCAACTTCCCAAGATCCTTTATTTGAAAATGGTCTTGTAGAAAGGCCTTTAGTTTGTCAATCCTTAACCTGCCACTGCCAGTTATGACTATATCATCCACATAGACTACTAATAAAATCTTTTCGGCTTTAGAATCATAGTTGAACACTAAGTGGTCGACTTGACATTGTTTCATTCCAAAGTTTTTCACTACTTCACTGAACTTCCCAACCCAAGCACGAGGAGATTGTTTCAGCCCATAAATTGCCTTTTTCAATCTACACACCTTACCAACCTCCCCCTGAGCAACAAACCCTGGTGGTTGCTCCATATATACCTCTTCCACAAGGTCACCATGGCGGAAGGCATTTTTAATGTGAAGCTGAAACAGAGGCTAATCATGCATAACCGCCAAGAAGACTAAGACATGAACTGAACCAATCTTTGCCACATGAGAGAAGGTTTCCATATAGTCCACTCCGTACAACTGAGAATAATCTTTAGCAACTAGTCGAGCCTTTAACCGCTCCACATTACTATCTGGTAAATATTTAACAGTATACACCCATTTACAACCTACAACATGCTTACTTGGAGAAAGAGTGGTGAGCTCCCACGTGTGAGTATGCTGAAGAGCAGAGAGTTCCTCCTCTATTGCTTGACGCCACCCGGGTGAAGTAAGGGCCTCATAGACATCCTTAGGTATAAATATAAGAGGACAACAGAGAAACAAACTAGCGATGTGAAGTGGAAAGGTGAGAGATAGAAACATAAAAGGAAATGGGATGTAGGGTACACCTAAGTTTACCTTTCCGTAAAACAATGGGAAGATCAAGGTTAGAAGGTTCTGGGACAGGAGCAACGACAGGATCCACAGGTGAGGTAGAAGCCGGAGGAGGTGCCAGTGTCTGTTGATGAGTATACACATGTTGGATCGGTGGCCATTCAGTAGGAATCTACACAGGAGGAGGTGAAGGTTCAGCCATAACAGGAACAACCGGAATGGGGTCACCAACTGGAAGAGGAACCAATGGTGGAGAGGACGGTACTTCAGGCCCTGAAAAGAATGGTACGGACTCAAAAAAGGTGACATCAGGACAGACAAAAGATTTCCGAGTGAACACTACAAGTGTAAGAGTTGTGTCTCAATAGCTAGAAGGCATGGTGAAATTCGAATTCATATTGGAGGTTTACACCATCAATTTCCAACCAAAAGGTCATATGGAGTTGCCAAAACTCAAGGACAAATTATTCTCAACCCGGGGAGTCTGATGTAGGAGCATTGAACACTATAATAGGATGAAGCATACTAGAACAAAAGGGATTATTAAATAGTGGTTAATGAGCACTTATAGGCTTGTTTGTTAGGGTTCTTAGGAGTTTTAGTCATATTAAATGTTAATTAACATGGGGGTTAAGACTTGGGCTGCATTAGAGGTAAACCCCTCCTAGCCATGTGAACATATGAAAACCACTGACCATTAAATGGAGGCTAATGATTGAATCACAATATTTTGGTCAGTTTGCTTTTTTTTTTGGGCATGTTGGGGCGGGGGGGGGGGTTCTTTCACCTTGAATGAATGAGGAAGAAATATGGTGGACCAGCTTCATGCTTTTCAAACCTCTAGTTTGGGGTGAATGGACTTAAGGTTGAAGGATGTACTTCACTCTATAAGAGGCGATTTAAGTAGCATAAAATGGTTAGCAAGAATCTTTCCACTATGAATGCAGATTTTTTTTTTGATAAATGATTGAAATTTTATTCAATAAGTTCAAAAAGATATTACAATACAGCCTGCCCAAAGGAGAGGCACGAGCTGGTGCCTCTCCACAACAACAATAATGTACTACCTCAGACTAGTAACAAAAATTTACAAAGCTGCCCAGAATAAATGTTCCCTTGATACCCCTTGTTTAGCTAACCCATCCGCTATGGTGTTAGCTGTTCTACCTATCCACTGATAATTAACATTCATGTTCCTGAAAACCACTTAGCTTTCCTCATAATATCCCTGTAGCACCAAATCACTGAATCTGGATTTTTTAACCAACCCACAACTTTGGAATCTCCTTCAATAATCAAATTTTGAACTCCTAACTGGTCCGCAATCTGAATGCCTTGTACTGCCGCTAGAAGCTCAGCTCTAATAGAGTCTCCTATACCCACGGAGCCTGAGAATAAAGCTAAAATATTACTATCTTTATCTCTCAGCACCCCACCAATCCCTGATGGACCCGGATTTCCTTGGCTGCTACCATCAAAATTCAGCTCTGTCCAGTCTTCTGAAGGAGGTACCCACACATCTGGTACCCTGTTCTTTTTGTTACTGCTACTAGCCACAGCCATCCAGTTCCTCCACATGTCGTCAAGGGAATATAATTTAAAGGAATCTAATGATCTCAGCCAATGGATTGCCCCGGTCATAATGCAATCCTTTACATTCTGAACATTTCTCTCGTTCTCTTGGAATATCCTCACATTTCTTTCTTCCCAAATTGTCCACAAAGCAGCAGCTCTAATGCTCCTCCACATTATTTTACCAATTTTTGTGGGCCACACAAAGAAGGAAGGGTCAAAGATCTGATCTATGGCTGTGGTCAAATTCCATCTGCAACCAAACAAAGCAAAGATCCAACCCCAAATAGCAACAGAAAATGAACAGGTTAAAAGTAAGTGAGAGCAATCCTCACCATTAGCCCTGCAAAGTACACACCAATTAGGAGACAAACACATAGAAGGCCTTCTCTTCTGCAATAAGTCTGAAGTGTTGATTTTCCTATAGAACATCTCCCAGCAGAACATAATAATTTTAGGAGGTACAAGTTTAGACCAAATCTCCTTAGCTGAGAAACCCACTTGTCCCAAGGGAGAGTAAAGGGACTTAAAGAAGGAAGCACATGTGAAGTAACCTTTTGGGTTTGGAGACCAAAGTCTCACATCAGAACTAGAAGGGTCCAGAAAAACACTTTCAGTAGTGACAAAAGGTCTGAGACACGGGAGAGTTCATGATCCCTCAAACCCCTACGAAACCCAAAGTCCCAACTCAAAGAATATGGAGAATCAGATGTTGGAAGAAAGTGAGAGATTGTTTTACACTATGAATGCAGATTTGACGTAAAAGTTTGTCACTTGGTTATATTTTATCTCCCTTGGTTCCTCTTTTCTGTTGATTACCTGCTTTACTGGCTTATGCTTAACAACTGACTTCCTTTTGAAACTTCTTTTGTCTGTATTATGTCATTTATTCAGTGTTTGATCATTCTTATTTTTATTGAGATTACAGACAAAGTCTAAACTCTATCTGATTTTGGATTTTATAAATGGAGGGCATCTATTCTTTCATCTGTATCGACAAGGGATTTTCAGGTATCTTGCCTTTGAGCCTTTGAACAACTGGTCTTGATTAAATTGTACAAATTTTGATTCTGGCTCTCGGGTATGTCTTGAGTAGTGAGGATCAGGCAAGAATTTATACTGCCGAGATTGTTTCTGCTGTTTCACATCTTCACAAGAATGGGATCGTGCATCGGGATCTAAAACCTGAAAACATTCTCATGGATGCTGACGGGCATGTAAGGGCCATGCCCATACATCTAGTGCTGTTGCTGACATATACATAAAAGTCATAGAATGTGATCTTCCTTCATTTGCTTATTATTCATTTTGACTTAGTTTCATGATTATAACCTGGATCTATATCACACAGGTGATGCTAACTGATTTTGGACTAGCAAAGGAAATTGAAGAATCAAGCAGATCAAATTCTATGTGTGGAACTACTGAATATATGGCTCCAGAGATTTTATCATCAAAGGGCCACAACAAAGATGCAGATTGGTGGAGTATTGGCATATTATTGTATGAAATGTTAACAGGGCAGGTAAATATGCTCATTAATTAATTTGATTCTCTCAAGTACATTGGATTTGCCAAAACTTGTTTTACTAGGCAATATTTATGATCCTTGGAATCCTTAAGGTATACTTGAGCATAGAAAGTTGACCAATTTGAATTACATACAACATACCAGATATATCCTAAAGATCGTGCAACAATAGTAATTGCTGGATGTGGCCAACATGTCTGGTTCAGGTGCATTTATTACTCCTGGGTTAGAATTTTGATCAGATTTAACATGAACCCTATTGGCACAGCACAATTTTTTTTATGGGGTGGGATTGATTTGTGCTCTTAGTTTGTACTTGTTTTAGGGCATTCAACAGCCCAACGCAACCTGAACCATTCTGGTTTGCTGTCTAAATGCAATGCATGTATTCAATCTTCAATACATTTTGTGCTTTCAATGGTTTGATATTCTTATTCTATGGGAGTCCATAAAGGCAAAAGCACCAAATTGCCACATGATTCCAATGCAAGAAATTGAAACCAATGTTTTAAAATGCGGAGGCATGACGCGAGGCGTTCCACTACCCAGAGGTGTGAGGTATAGTTCAGAACGCAAGAGGCGTAAGCCTCCCGAACACAAGGAGGCTTACGCCTCCTTAAGAGGAGGGGGTTAGGAGGAGGATGAAGAGGAAGGGGGGATCTCATTTTTTCTTTATTTTTAATAAAAATCTTTTATATTAAGAAGAATAAAGATGCATAACATTAATCGAAAGGGGGGGTCTTGTCGAAGCCCCCCAGCCAAAGGGGTAGGGGGCAAACCACTTTCTTTCCCCTTATCTTTTCTTTCCTTTCCTTTCCTTTCCTTTCCTTTTCTTTCCTTCTATCTTTTTTTCTTCTCTTTCTTTTCTTTTCCTTTGCTTTGCTTTCCTTTCCTTTTTTTCTTTTTTCTATTTTTTTGTCTTTTTATATCAGATGTGCATGAGGTGCATGAGGCGTACACCTCTAGCATGCCTCATGAAAAAAGCGCAAGAGGCGTACGCCTCAGAAGTGTCAGCGCCTCTGGCATACGCCTCAGGGTGTTTTGGGAGTGCCTTGCCTGGAGGCGTTCCTCCAGGCATACGCCTCTCATGCCTTTTAAAACACTGATCGAAACTGGTCAAAGATCCCATAGATTCATGGCCCATTCATGTGCTGATTGGATCACTCTGCTTGATTATTTACACCGATTGGTAAAAACTTGTAGTAGTTAATATTTTATTGCCTCTTTCTGTACAGCTCCATCCCCCCTTCCCCTTTTTTTTCTACCACTCATGTTTGGTATTCTGAAGTTCTGATTATTACCTGTTTTCATAAATTGTGTTATTTTCATAGATACGCAAAATGCTTTTTCTTCTCAATCTGGGTGGGCTTTCCTCTTTATCTTTCTCATTCTTAAATTGCAGCATTCTTTTCACTGTCATACAAGTAACTTTCGTCTGTGTGTGTTCTTTTAAGCTTAAGTTGGAAGATAGTGCTGAAAGTTTGGGTAGGGTTGAGAAATTTGTGGAGCTTTGTACCATGTGCTGGGTTTTTTTAGGGTTGAGATTTCAGACCCAGGGTCCGGCTTGAATTAGTTCAAATCTAGCCTGAGTTGCATCCCCAGTTCATTCTTTTTGACGGTGATGAAGAATATATGGAAAGCCAAAAATGAGTAGGTTGGAGTTAACATGATTTTGATGTTCTCTGGGATGTATTCCATGGAGTATTATGTGATGGGATTCCAAGTACCTGCAAGCCAACATATTGTGTTGTGCCATCAGATATCAGTAGATTATCCTGGCTCAGTTTGGAAAGAGTGTAAATACAAATATATACAGTGCAAATACAAGGTTTACAAATACTATATACAAGGTTTTGCACTGTACATATTTGTATTTGTAGTTTTTGTACTCTTCCCAAACCGAAGCTCAGTTTGGGAAAGAGTACAACACTACAACTACAAAAGGATCTAGCAAGCACTTGTTCTTAACTTTAAAAGTTGAGTGATTGTTGCTCTAATTAACATTGAAACCGGGTTTATTCTCTCAGCCACCCTTCACGCATGCAAACAGACAAAAGCTTCAACAGAGAATCATCAGAGAAAAAGTGAAGCTCCCGCCATTCTTAAGCAGTGAAGCTCATTCTTTACTTAAAGGGGTAAGCAGATGCTAGTGCTTGGGTGCATGTATTTTTTGAAAAGGGGGCAGGAACATCTAATGTGTGTGTATTTTTCCAGCTACTGCAAAAGGAACCATCGAAGAGGTTAGGCAGCGGCCCAAGTGGAAGTGATGAAATAAAAAACCATAAATGGTTTCGACCCATTAACTGGAAGAAGTTGGAGGCTAGACAATTGGAACCCAAGTTCAAGCCAAATGTGAATGGAAGAGATTGCACCGCCAACTTTGACAAGTGCTGGACGGAAATGCCTGCAGACGACTCCCCTGCTCCTACACCAACAACAACTGGTGAACACTTCAGGGGTTATACTTACGTCGCACCTGCTCCTTGGCTCCAAGGAGCAAGCTAGGTGAACACTTCACCAAATGAAGAAATAAAAGTACTGACACAAAAGATACACACTTTTAGGCAGAGCTGTGAGCTAGTATTTATTTTGGAAAAAGGTGTCTTGTGTGTAATGTTGTACCATGATTTTCTTCTTTAACAGACATGGATTTCAAGATTGTAGATTGTTGACAACTGTTTGATAGAAATTTAAAAGAGTGAGATTTAACAGCATGATCTGCCAACCAAATTCGCCGTAGGGTCATTGTGGATGGTAAGTTACACTGAATATGCGAAGGTGAGCTAATTGATGATGATGATGAGATTCATGGAGTTGGAGGGATTTCATGAAGACCTGGCAAAGGTGGATGCTGGCGTGGAGGGAGTCATACGCTCTTTAGGTGATCTGCTGAAAAGATGGAAAATAATCCAAAAACTTAAGATCATCTGTTGGCAGATTCTTTTGACCAATACAATATACAACTGTCAGGCAGAGGAAGGGATGATGATGATGATGTTTGAGCTGGACATTTATGTTGGAACCTAGAGGAGAAATCAATCAATTCTCAATCTTGGGAGGGGAAAGGGGAGAGGGGAGAGAGCAGATTTGCTGTGCACATGCACATCCACATGCACATGTAGGGCAAATGACAAATGCATCCACTTGTAGGGTACAAAAGTCGTTCATAATTCTGGCTTGGGGAAGGGATGTTCCGTTGGTTGTACGCTTTACCCACATGGAAGAGTCGGAGACCCGCCGTTGGATGGCCCCCACCTTAGCAGACACAAGTCAATTCAATCTTTGATTGGTTTTGAATTTTCATCCATCCCCACAATTTTCCTTTTCTTTGTTTTGTTATGTTTTTGCTCCATACTTAAACCTTTAGTTGCGTTTGGAAACGATGCAAATAGAGTGTAAATTTGCATTCTGGTTCATTTTTGTCTGTATTTGACAACATTACATTTATGCATTGACAAATGAAAGACCAATGCTATATTTACAATGATAATAAGATGTAAAAGTACATCAATAAGAAAGAAGTAAATTTGCACTCAAGTGGGCTTCTGAATCGTTTGCATCCATTACAGCTAAAAATCTATTTGGTAAGAAGATAAATTTGTCAATGCAAAACTAATCCAATTTTACAATTTATACGAATCATTTTACACTTATTTGCATTCACACTTCTTTGCATCATTTTCAAGCGCAGCCTTAGTTGGTGTGGGTATAAGAAGAAGGCTGCTTTAGTTTTCTCTGTAAACTGGATGTAAAATTTCTAAGAGGAAACTATTTCATTTTCAGCTATTATTTCTGCCCCCCCTCCTTTTGATGTAATTAGTAAGAAAAAAAAAAGAAGTCTGTGAGATATTCTATGCCAAAATTGAAACAAACGGGAGAAGTGGGGCTCCATTGTAAAATTGTAAACGAGTAAAGGATGAATTTAACATTCATGTTTATTGTGTGGAGTCAGGTCGACAAAGTTAATGCAGAGCAGAGCTGAAATTTCTTTTCATTGCACATGGGTAATGCGGATGGTTGATGTCATCACTTTTGCTCAACTTCATCCATATCGTTTGGAACCACGACGCTGGTGTTTCTTCGTGACAAACCGTCCTTTTCCATTGATGTTGAGAGAGGAGGAAAGAAAACAGATGATGCTCCAGTACTTGTTCAGACTTGAGAGAGGGAAATAAAAGAAGAGTAACGGAAAATGATTCTCTTACGTTATATTTGATATCTGAGGGAGCAGTAGTGGTTGTTACCTTGGTATAAGAAGCGAAGGAAACAAATCCCTATCCCTAGAGCCTAGACTGGGATAAGTGGTGTGAGTGTGGAATTCGGCTTAACTTGGTAAATTTCGTTAACACTGCCAAATGGAGCCTACGATTTTCTGATAAAAATTTTCAGTCATTTTACATGAAACCAAAATAGCATTATATTATTTTGTTTTGGCAGAAATAATTCATTTTACGTGCAATCAAATGGAGCCTACAATACAAGTGAGAATCCGTTTCTTTTTTGTCTTATCAATGACGTAACAAGAATGATCGAGAAAAACATTAATGGTGTCGACTGTCCGACTGTCGGAAATAGAATGAAAGTAACCAAATTACCAATAGCCATCGCCCATGCATCATCCTCCACACTACTCTTATCTACTCAGCCCTCAGTAGTATCAGTACTCGCTCCTTAAAAGATAATAATCCCACAATATACACCACGTTCCCAGTGTCAGAATGTGCTTCCTTTTTATTGGAATTAGATCTGAATTAATATTACCTTCTCTTGGGAGTCTGGAGGCCTGCCTCCCAGTCCCAAGTGAAATCCCATTTATTCCAATTCCAAACCACTCCATCAGCGAGACATGGACGATCAAAACATTGCATGTGCTGCTGCAAACTTGGCACAAAAGATTTACTCCAAACTCTAAAATCACGAGGCACGGCCAGACAACACCTGTGGCCTCCGTACGCTATCACTTTTTTATTGTTTTTTTCTCTTTCTTTCTCTTTTTTCACGATTGATTGTCCAACCAAGACTTCCAAAATCCAACTCCTAAATCCCCCATCTATTCAAAGAAAATGGAATAATGAGAAACTTCTTATCTGACGTAGCCATTTTAAGGTACCAAATAAGTAATCACATACATATCCTAATTAAGCATCAGCGACAGAGGTATCCACTCATCTCAATTCATCTACAATACTAATCAAGCTAAAGCCTGCTTTTGGAGGAATTCATTCGGAAGTTAAAAGTTAAAACTACTCCTGTCTCCTGGGGCAGAAATTATGGGACACTTTTTACTACCGACTCTGTTGAATCATAGCAGATTATACATATAGAAGTAGGCTTATTAGTATTTGTTTTATTTAGGGCTGTTCCACAACATAGTTGCTTTCGTTTTTGAAAACAAAAATAACTGACATCAGAAATTTGAAAAGCAAAATCAAGTTGTCGAACACCCACTTTTATTTATTTATTTATTATCTATAAAGAAGAGAAGTGATTTTATTCAATGGAAGGAAAGCCCCTATGTTGGAAGTTGGAATAGTAAGCATACAAAGTACACCTTGACTTTAAATAAAGAAAAATCTACACATTCAATGCCGGCCGGCCCAGGCATTCCCGAATCAAAACACTTTCTTGTTTCCCCTGCTTTTGTTAGAGCATCAGTCAAGACAACTGCATCCGGGTTGGGGGGGGCTTTTGTTTTTGGATATGACAGAAAAAAGAAAAAAAGAACAAGAAGACAGCTACAGTCCTAGGCACTCGGTAGAACAGGGCAGTTAATGGATCGGGCAAACTCAGGGCCGAACCGATCCAACCCAAGTAACAGATCCAGATCGGGCAGTCTGGAATCTGGATATGCTTTATATAATTGGGGCAGCATCGGTTTTGGTTGTTCCAAACGGATTAAGACTCGATCCGGAAATGTGTATAATTGTAATTACGGCGTATTACAAAGATACCCCAGTCCATTTATATCTTTTAAAATACCTATTATTTTTCGTATGATATATACCTGTAACTGTAATATTATTAATTAGTAGGTCTGGTCTGTCTGTGGTGAAATTATAGGGGGTAGAGCTGTTAAATATATAGGTTTTGGAACCGTGTTTAGAGCAGAGCAGGTATGTATCTACACAGCAGCCAGCAGGCAGGCACTGAACCAGTAAGGGTTTCCTCAGAATTGGTCCTTACACCCACCTCACAGCCCCTGGTGGCTGCGCATCAGGAACGTCTACTCGTATGTTTTTCATTTTCATGGCTCAAGTGCTATGAGATCTAGCTGTGAGGAGGAATCCGGACTCGGCAAAGACCCGACCCGACCCATTGATACTTTGACAATTGACAGCACTACAATAATAGTACAATTGATTGTTACCTAGGGCTTGTGCCCGTCTCACTAATGATATCTATAAAGCCCAAGGAATTATTATATCTTCAGTTTTCCGTGATATTCTGTTTGACAGTCGCGCTTTACTATTAAATCTGTCCATCCTTGCATGGAAAACAGACGTTAAGCCTTGGATGAAGGCTAAAAGCTCTGCTTTTAAAGGGTTGCATTGTGCCGGTAGAGACTGAAAAGGTCTTAACAGTAAACCTTCAGTACTTGGTCACATTCTATTATTAGAATATGTATTAGCTGTTCATTTATGTTAAACACAGAACAGAGGGGGGAAAAGAAAAATATTGCATACACAAGGCATTATTCCATCCATTTAACAAAGCAATGTCCATGCAGCATTAGTTCTAGTGAACAATATTCAAACATGAAAATTCAATTACCTGCAAATTAGAGCAGGCAAATATATCCCTTCCAAACAAAACTTGTGTCAGGACCAAAATACAAAATACATCCCTCCCCCTCCCCACTGTCTAATGGTCATAAGATAACAATTGTCAATGCATTACAGCATTACTAATCTTCACTATGTTTAAAAGAATTCCCAATCTGGCCGAAACGGTAACTGCTTCGTATTCTAACTCACTAACAATAATATAGGCTAGAACGAATATAAAATGCCACAGGAAATACCCTCAAGTAACGTAACATTGCTTTTGATCCAAATAACTAGACCTGCACGGGCAATTATGTTTTTCAGGCTCAGGATGTAATCTTTAGTAATTACTGTGGCCTTAACAGAAGGCAAGGTAGTTGTTAATCACCAAGGGATGAAGGGACCATTTGAAAACAGCTGAATAGGCTGAACCGAATGGCTTTTCAGCTTGTCTTTTAGTGAATAAGTATTTAAGTTGGGCACACGTTCTCAATTGTTGAATGGCATGCCAGGTTTACAACTTCCACTAATATGACTATGCTATTCACTAAAAAACAAATCAATATGCAACCCATTCAGCTAAATCGGCAGTCATCAAACGACCCCCATCAGTCCTTGTTTTCTGGATACATTTTATTTGTTCTGCCTAGCAAGTATAGCAAGCAAAATGGTTCTAATCATCTTATTGTGCCTGATTACAGGTACAAGTTTTTTCTTTTGATCTTTCTATTGCCTGTTTCATGATATCATTGAACGGCAGAAAATGCCTATTAGATGGCATTGATGCATCATTCTTTCCTTTTAGGGGTACTGAGCCTACAGATACGGAAGATGCAACAGTGAAGACCCAACATTTGAAGCTTAGCATGCATAGCCACAAAGTACAGAGACTTTAAGGTATCGATTGAACTCAAAGACACAAAGATCAATGTTTAGGGAAAATAAACCACTAGAAGATAATACTAATAAGGTTGGATACTCAGTGATGAAATAATATGTTCTGTAAAATTATCTTGATAGACAAACTTATTGAGAACCATATGGGATCAGATTCTATAGGAGCATGCAAAGGGAGTCAAGTTTGTTTTGGTAGGCCAAACACCGTTTTGTTTTCAATCTGAACATTTATAGTGAAAGAATCCAATGATCCTAGAGAATGCATTAAATATCATAGAATCTAATAGCATGAAAATAGAGATGATTGAATCATAAAGCAGTAGGATAAAAATAAACATTCATAAGATCAAGGAGAGAGAGATAATCACGTTAAATCGAGATTATGTTGCATGATAAATAAGCTTCCCTTAAGCAAAAGAAAAAAAATATATCAACATGGAAATGCATAAAAATTCCTGGAATAATCTCCAACATGGATCTCTAAAAATTCTAGCAGGTACATTTTTCAATCATCAAAGTCCTTAATAAGTTCCTTTGCTAGAATGAGAGAAAGGGGTTCTCCAGGGATGGGAAAGATACAGTCCACGGAATTTCTTGTATTATACAACTTAATCCAACAAATGGGGATGGTAACAGGAAAAGCCTAGTGAATTGAAAATCATACCATTTACTCAATAAGGCTGCACAACCTAGTAATAAGATGATGCTTTGATGCTGTAAGACTGCAAATCTTCAAAACCTGAAATTCTTTTCCAAGCATCTCATAGATTCACCCTCAAAGTTAATCCTGATGGTCTGGATCTTGTTTACCATAGATAAGTGGAAATTCATCAAACTGTTCTGAACTATCCGGGCCTTCACCAATGTTCTTCAAGGACTGGTAAACCTGGTACATAGAAGATCTGTCCTTGGGCCTAGAAACCACACAACCACATGCAACCCTCAGAAACTGCAGAATTTCATCGTCGTAGCCCCTTCCAAAGAGAGACCTGTCAATGGCATCCTTGATTCGACCAGAACCTATAAGCAGATTGACCCAATCTACAAGATTGCCCTTGAACCCTTCCTCAGCTTTACTTACTTCAAGTGGCTTTTGTCCAGTCACCAACTCCAGAAGCACTATGCCCAACCCATAAACGTCTCCTTTCAGTGAGGCAACCATGGTGCTCGAGTACTCGGGAGCCACATAACCAAACTCTCCGAAATCCCCATGGACGAAAGAACTATCGTTAGAATCAGCAGAACTCATGAGCCTTGCGAGTCCGAAATCAGTAATCCGAGCATCGAAGTCTTCGTCAAGGAGAATTACATTGGAACTTATGTTCTGGTGCAGGAAAGGGGGTTGGCAGCCGTGATGAAGCCAAGCGAGGCCCCTCGCCACACCCTTGCCAATCTTAAGCCTCGTTCGCCAATCCAACGAATTGTGCTCAGTGTTTGTAATGGCAGAACCGTGCAACAGAGAATACAGAGTTCCGTTAGGCATGTGTTTATAAACTAAAAGTCTCTCATCTTCTACTACGCAGAAACCCAGAAGGGGTACCAAATTCGGGTGCCTAAGCTGCCCTAATCTGTTCATCTCAGAGCGGAATTGCTTCTCAGTGAGCTTACAAGTGTTGAGACGCTTAATGGCAAGGGCCGACCCATCCGACAGAACTGCCTTATAGGAAATACCAGTTCTTGTGGAGATGATAATGTTTTCTGGATCAAAATTATTGGTAGCTGCCATTAAATCCGCCAACTTGACCTTCACAAGGGGTTTCTGGAACAACGAAACCTGAGCAAACTTGTGAGCCCTCAAGCGCTCCACCCAACTGCTATCTTCATATTTTCCAGTCCCATACTTCCTCCTGCGAAGGCGACGACTTGACCTAACAAAGCACCACCACCAAAGTGCGAAACCCAGCAGCAAAGAGACAGTGGCACCAAAAATGCCAGCAGCAATGATAATGATGAGATTTTTCTTGCTCAAACCACCACAGTTGGACCCAAGAGGCCTACCGCAGAGCCCGTTGTTGCCGTCGAAGCCAACGGCATCGAAATCGGAAAAGAAGGAGGGAATCGTACCGGAGAGACGGTTATTAGCAACCGAGAACTTCTTGAGACGAGTAAGACGGGAGAGCTCATAAGGGATTGAACCGGAGAGACGATTGTTGGCAAGATTAAGACTATTGAGAAACTTGCAATCGACGAGCTCAGGAGGGATCGGACCAGAGAAGTCGTTGTTGGAGAGATCTAGGGTAACGAGGTAGGGCATCCAGGTGCAAATTTGAGAAGGGATCTGACCAGAAAGTTTGTTACCGGAGAGATCGAGACCCTGGAGGCTCTGACAGTACTGCAAAGAATCGGGGATCTGCCCGGCGAGATTCATTGTAGGGAGGTCGAGTCGGATGAGACGATTCTCCCTCTCGTTCCAGCACGAGACGCCGACGAACTTGCAAAGGAAACCGACCGAGTTATTGGAAAAAATCCAAGAACTGAGCTTTCCTTGAGGATCACTGAGCGAATTCTTGACGCCAGTAAGGCACTTCACATCGTCCTCTATAGCCATAGAGGCGAAAATCATGGCGGAGAGGAGGAGAAGAAACAGCTGGGATCGATCTCTCGATCTCACCATGGCGAAAGGGAGGAAGACTCTCTTCTCCTCGTCCTCGAGCAGTTCAGGTTGGGGCTAGGGTTTCAAAATCTATAGAATGATCCGATGGCAGTTTTTGATGGTGGCGAGTAGTCGAAGAACAGAAGTATGAGCGGCGAATTGACTTCAGTTCTGAAATCAGGAGAGAGAGAGAGAGAGAGAGAAGCAGAGAAATAGAGAGTCTTCTCTCTTGAGGGAAGGACTGGAATGTATCTTGCCTTCGGGTTTAGGCTTGTTTTTGTTGAATTCGATGTGGTGCAATTGATAATTACAGCTTTGACTATCAAACGTGGACTGTTTCTTCTTCTTTGTTGAGGAATTTATTTATTTAAATTAATCAAAAAAAAAAAAAAACCCGAGGGGTTGCCGATTCGGCCGTTCGTGACGAAACTGAAACTTTGTTTTCCTTCTTTCAAGTTCCCACTTTTCACGAACCATAATGAGTCCCATATTTGCTGCTTTTCAGACAACCAATCTAGTGTTTCGGATTTGGGAAGTACAAAATTACCGAAAGCCCATTCAATTTTTCATCATTTCATTCGTGTGGGGATGGAATTTCAATTCGGTGGAACTGGAATCCCCCCAGTATGGCAGTATCCCAGTACCCCCGGGTTATTTTTTGGAAACTGTTTCCGTTTCGGTTTCGAAAGTGGTCCTTTAATTGGGTTGTGATCCGCTTCATATTTGCAATTCTGTGCGTCTTATCTCGTTTCAAGTTATCAACAACCATCGAGTAGTAGTAACAGTACGAAGGGCGAAGGCTACAACTTTACAAGCTCCCTTTAATTGGGTGTGTGCATTGGGACACGCGTCCACGTAAAATAATAAAAACAAGGCAAAAATAAAGCATGCAGCACTGCAGCATATGCCATTGGACCACACTTACGAATTTTCATTTTTGATAAAATTAACAAGTTCCCCCTTTATTATTGATAAATATCCCCTTAAATTCGATTAATTTTCTAAATATGACATTGAAGTCCTATATCCTTGCTGGCTAAATATTCAAATGAAATGGTAGCGATTTCACTCCAATAGATATAAATTTATGATTTCGTTTCTTAATGATTTATTAGAGAATAGAGTGGATAATTTTTTTTATATTTTTAGATGAAGAAAGGCATTCGTATCAATAAAATGAATCAACAACTTTTTTCTATGCCAATGTAATGATTTAAGAGAAGAAAAAAGTATAGGTAAACGTTTTGGTAATTGAACATATTTCATCATCTAACTTAACTTCAACGATTAGGAGGTATTTGTGGTAAAGTGAGAAAGCTTAGAAGGTTTTTATAACAAATGAAAAATCACGAATCCTATAGTACAAAGGGATATTTATAAATTATAATTGGTCATTCATTTTTCCAATATAATTTTAATATGAAAAAACAAAAAAGTGAATGAGGGCGGGATGAATCCCGTGAGGCGTGAGATGAGGTACAGCATGTAAACCCGAAACAAGATGTAGTACGAGTACCAATCAACAACAACGTAGCAGCTAGCTAATTTGACAGAGAAATTGAACTGGTGACAATGCAGCTGCATCGTTCATTGGAGTGGGGGGGGGGGGTGCTGGCCTTTAAACAGGAAATTCATCAGGATAATGTTTTTTAAAAAGGCAATAGGACGACACAAAGGAGCAAGGAAGAGGAGTGATCCACCATCCATGTTGTTACATTTCACAACAGCAAAGCAAAGGAAACACGTAGGGAGTTGAGAGTTGGACACAGGAAACATTTGGGTCCGACTCAGAGTTTGAGACTTCACTTGGGATTATTGGAGGGGGGGTCTTCGGTTTTGAGTTTTGAGTTTTGACTTGATGAGTGGTAGACGAGAGTACGTAGGTGGTGGTGCCACTGTATTCTTATCGTGCCTGCGAATGCGACTAAGTGACTAACCATTTATCTTTCCTAATTCCTATTACTTGTGGAATGGGCTGTACGCTGGAAGGGCAAAAATGTCAATTGAAACATGGAAGTGGCTCAACCGGACGGTTCACCCAGTAAAAATGAATGAAAAGTCCATTCAAAACAAAAAACAGTAAAACACTGCCCCAAACCGGATTGTATTATTTATTAATCTGGCAAACAACGGTTCATCATAATCTGGGACTGGGAAACTAGGACCAGGAAAATCGAAGGCAGAGAAACCAAAAGAAAGGAAGGATGTTGATTATTGCATCATCCACGTATGTTCCAGTTTTGCTTTCAACCTCGTCTCCCTCCCTGCTACAACTGGAATGTGAAGTCAATCCTAAAAGATATTATATAGTTTTTTAGGCTGAGTTCCATTGGTGCCATGATTCTGAATAAAGTGTTTGGCAAGTTGTCACGGGGGTAGTCTACAGCGGAAGAAACCCGTGTGGCGTCCTGGCCAAGGCAGGCCAGGACAAGCCTTTCTGTGCTTAGAGGCTAAGAGTTGCCCGATGGGATGGCTCCACCAACGTCAGTAGCACTGGATCATGACCTCAAGTCCAATGGCCGGGGCACTCTCCTGGCHCAGACCGGTCCATGGGAGGCGCCGCTTACGTGCTAAAGGGGGACAACCATCATGGAAGGCGACCATGCGCCGAT